TAAAAACGATAGAAATAACAATTAAACACTGAATATAGAAAATTGGCCTTCTATATTAACAGTAACCGTGTTTCAATCTTGCATTGTCTTGATTATACTAACATAATAATGTAGTATATTAGTGTTAACAACAGTTAAATTGTATGAGTATTTAGATTTATAAAATATATATTGACTCAAAATATTAAATTTTAAATTGATCTGTTGAGGTCTAGCTACTCCCCGAGAGTGAAAACCACTGCCTTGCGGTGTTACAAAAATAACTTTAACACGGATGCTATTTAAGCAAAACACCGTGTTAGCGTCGAGGCAACATTGCAATGTTGTTTTTATGTGCTGACTAACAGACGTGTTACAATTAGTTTATAAACAACAGGAGATTTGAGCTACTACAACTATGTTCGTATAATATGAACAGTGCTTCTTTAGACATTTTGTTCCGTGGGGGGGGGGGGGGGCGAGGAGAAAGGGGGGGGGGGAAGAAGGGGCGCTTGAAACTTTGGGGGTGTCACTTAAATTTTGGAGATGGGAGTTGGGCAGACACTGGCAGCCCCCACCCCACCCCCCCCCCCCCCCCCCCCCCCCCCCCCCCCACTGAAGTTATTTGAATAGTCTTAGGATAGTCTGCTCCTTAGTAAAACGTTTATTTTTTCTTTCAACTATTTATAACCTTTTTATTTATACAAAAATATTTTTTTTAAATTTTAAAACTTAAAATACGTGTATAAACTAACAGGCCTACATTGTGAAAAACGTCAGTCGCACTATCATTTTCCTTCAATATAAGTAAGAGCAAATGATAAGCGATGGGTATGCAGACTTAACCATGAGTTAAACTATAAAATCACTTACGCTTTCGATGCCCGTGTTTCGTAATCGATTCCCGTATGGGTTGATCCCATCTTGCCGTTTGTCCGTGGGGGTAAGGCCAGGCTGTGTTGTATCGCTCTGCCAATCAAGACCGGCCAATTCTTCAAAGTTGGGCTGTTCCGTGGAAAAACTCACAGCTTTTACAAAAAATCTGGCAAGTTCCGACTGTAAGACCAAGAAAACTGTCGCTTTAAGCAGTTGCGCTTGCCACATTGCACCCATGTTCCGAACCTAGCCCAGCTATCAAGTAATCTCTTGTAATATATTAATTGTTATTAATTAATTAATTAAATAAACGCACTGGGTGTTATTTTATAATTAAACATATTTCACTGTTAATTTATCACAATAACAAAGCAATTGTGTACACTATTTCAATAAACAGTTTGTTACCGCGTGAAGTATTTTACATTACAAAACGCCACAGTAAAAAAAAAATAATGACGTTAATGATCTGGGCAACAAAAAGCGCCGGCGATGTCCATCACGTGACGAAGTATGACATTGGTCACGAAGTGAGGCAGACGGAATTTGCGCAGTTAACTCTTGACCAATCAAATTTAATGACCTCTGACCTTGATTAGGTGAGAAAATTAAAACCCAGCTCAAGGACCCTACAACCAAAAGAGCAACTGTTGAATTCGTATTTTATGTGAAGGTCAAGCTCTAGATTGTATGTAAAGATGAAGTCGAAGTTCTAGATTTTTTATAATGATTAAGATCTAGTTTTTATATAAAGATAAAACTCTAGAGTTTGTCTGAAGCATTATACAATTATTTATAAATTGGAGTAATTAGAAAGGGGCGGCGTGGTCGGATGGTAGAGCTCACAACTACTTACCCAAATGTCTCAAGTTCGAATCCTAGTCTCGAGTCTGGTGAGAGTCCTGAGTCCATCCATTCATTGGGGACACCCAACACACGTTACGGTAACTAAAAAAAAATAAAGCTAAATTTTAAAATTATAAACAACTTTGTTTTTATGCTTAGACTTGTGTTTATTATCAAAATTTCAAACTTAAATTGATAAAGAATCTCTATTTGGTAATATTATTTATTATCTAATATTAACATTTTTTCGGGCAAACGGCCTTCGGGCAAGTGTCCGTTCGGGCATTTGTCGCATTCGGGCAAGTGTCCATTCGGGCATTTGTCGCATTCGGGCAAGTGTCCATTCGGGCATTTGTCGCATTCGGGCAAGTGTCCATTCGGGCGTTTGTCGCATTCGGGCAAGTGTCCATTCGGGCATTTGTCGCATTCGGGCAAGTGTCCATTCGGGAAATCGGCCTTCGGGCAAACGGCATTCGGGCAAGGATCTGTCGGGAAAACGTCCGGCTCCCCTTTCAAAAATGTGTCTACCCTTTTTTTTATAAACATATATTGTACAAATGACCTATAGAGTCCCAAACAGTGTTTCTTCCAGACTTTTTTCTTCTTGGGGGGGGGGGGAGGGGGGGGTCACTTAAAATTTTCGGAGGGGGGGAGGCGGACTAAAATTTTCGGGGGGGGGGAGGGGAGGACGTCGCGGACACTGTTAAAAGTATATATTTTCCAAATAAATTCCATTTCGTTAGGGAGGGGGGGGCGGTAGACTTTCTTCGCCCCCCCCCCCCCCCCGAAGAGATGCCTGAAAGAAACTCTGGTCCTAAGTCTACAATATAATAATAAAATTTAATAAACATCTGCTGCATCAATGTACCAATAGAAAATGTAAAGTATGTAAGCCTAAGCAGAATGAGAATGATAATCTTGTTCTTGGCCTAGTCTAGATCTAATTATAACTTTTAATCGCTGGGGTCATCAATAAACGTTTTCATCGCTGGGGTCATCCATAAAAAAACAAATTAGTCAATTCTTGTCTATCGCGCCATTGCTTTCGCTTGTAAATTAGTAGACCAAGCACACCATTGCCATTATTTTTTTTTCTCGAGTGGATTCTCAAAAATTATAATTTAAAAAAATACTGAAGTATCGACACCTAGCTTGAGTAGAATATGGTATAATATCAAATGAGATGAAACAAGAGCATCCTGCTTTAGGAACCATTGATTCTGTATAGTACCAGTGATAGCGATTGTTTTATCGAATGGTTTTATTATTTTAACCTCGCTGATCAAAGTTAACGATCAGATTTCCCAGGTCACTGTCAGCAGTTAACGAGGGTACATTAGTTGGTTAGGGTCAGATTATCTAGGGACCTACAGTGGCGTAGCGAGGTCGAGTGTCACCCGGTGCGGCACTTAATGGGGACAAACTTTCATGTTTTCGATTTGCACCCCCCCCGTCAAGTTTTTTATTTGCACCCCCCCCCCCCTCAAACTTTCGATTTGCACCCCCCCCCCTCAAGTTTTCTCTATATATTTTGCTATTTTTTGCCTTGGTGTCACCCCCCTAAATGGTGTCACCCAGTGCGGTCCGCACCCCCCCCCCTCGCTACGCCCCTGGGACCTTATATAGCAGCAGGAGCTTAACAATACAGTAACTGAAATGTTGTTTAGGCTATCTTTATTCTGGGAATCTACTTTATTATGTACTGTTTTGTATATGGTGTAGGGCCTACATTCTGTTTAGTTTTCACCAAGCACCTTTCAATGATTTTTGCTTATTTTATCTAGTAAAATAACCTTTTCTAACACCATGAATAGCTTTATTATCATTGTTTTAATTCATAATAAAAGTCCAAAACATGTATTCTTCATACCCATACCCTTGTCAAATAATAATTTTATCTAATTTTATCCTTATCCTATACATCCCTTTTGGCCTTATCCCAAACATATCCTTGTTCCATAAACTCCCTGGTCCACTACATCCCTTATCCCAACAACACAACTAGCCGCATACATTTCCTTATACCCTATCCTGTATGCATTCTCTTATCCCAAACCCGCACGCCTCCGCTGAGTTTATTACAGGCATCTCTTCGCCCCCCCCCCCTCCCCCAACTCCCACACCTCGGACGAAATGGAATTTCTACAGAAAATAATAATAATAACTTTTAATAGCGTCCACCCCCCTCCCCAGTAAATGTTAGTCCGCCATCCCCCCCCTCGAAAATTTCAAGTGCTCCCCCCCCCACCCCCCCCCCCCACCCCGGAGAAAAAAGTCTGGAAGCATCACTGGTCTACCATTCCCCTAAACCCCAGTAACCCTAACACAACCTAAACTACTGAATTCTATTGTCTAGCTTACTGAAACATATTTCACAGACACTTGCAGGAGGTGAGATTATAAGCACACTTACTAATTAGTTCGATGATAGAATGACCTAATTAGTGCGAAACCCATTTGAGAGAAAGTAGTATTGCATCATCCAAGCGATAGGTCACGTATTATCCAACAGAAAAGGGATAATTACATGAGTGTGTGTGTGTGTGTGTGTGTGTGTGTGTGTGATGAGTGATTAAGAGTAAATTAGGTGTTATGATGCGGATGGGGGGGGGGGGAGTGTCTCCACAATATCTGGAGTTTTAATGTGAAATAAGATGCTTGTTAACTGCTGACTTCAGATTTTGTTATTGTGGCCAGTTCAATAGCTAACAAAAGACTCTCTAAAAGATATGATTACCATAATTTAATTTAAAAAATAATAATCATTAAAAAAGTTTTTAAAAACCCACGTTTTCTGATTGAACTAAAAAGTAGAAAATAAATGCTATACATCACAATAATGCATATTTCTTTTAACGTTTGAACGATTTTCGGTAACCGGAATTGTTACTTTACTCTATTTCCACGTTAGGACGATAACTAGTTTACTGTTTCCATAAGCTAGATAAAATTAGTACTCTTTACGAAAGAATATCGGCGTCTCCAATATATTAATATTATATCATTAAAACTGATACTCAATATTACATGGTAATTATTCACTAATACGAGGCTCCTTCAAGCATTCCATTTTTTCTGTAATCTTTTCTGTAAATCTTACCTACCTGAGGTTTTGTTGACCAGAGTTTCTTCCAGGCATCTCTTCGGGGGGGGGGGGGGGGGGGGGTGGGGCTAAGCCCCCCCCCCCCGAACGAAATTTATATAATTTATTTATAAAATATATACTTTTAACTTTTAACCCCCCCCCCCCCCGGAGAAAAGAGTATGGAAGAAACACTATTGGTGACGACTATGGAGAGGTAACCACCAAAAGATGAAGGGCAGGTGCCGCTATAGAAACTGTAGGATAAGGTAAGTTTAAATATATATATATATATATATATATATATATATATATATATATATATATATATATATATATATATATATATATATATATATATATATACATCCATAAATGACGTCACACTCGTAGGGGGAAGGGGGGACCGTAATTTGGTGACGATGTGTGATGAGGGGGAGGGGGGTTCAGATGTTGCGACGTTACACTTTTGCATTATAAAAAAGCAATGTTAGAAAACGAATATTAGACGTTATTTCACGTTTTAGATAACTGTTTTAATAAATTGTAACAGTTTAGACAAGATTTTAGAAAAATATCGATGTTTTAAAAAAAATTCAACTGCAATTTTGAGGGGGGTTGTAGTTGAGGTGTGACGTCATTTTAGGGGGGGGGGGGGTCTGGCTTTTTGTGACGACGTGTGACGGGGGGGGGGGAGGTAAAAATCGTCCAAAAAAGCGTGACGTCATTTATGGATGACCCCATATGAAAGTACATACGTAAGTAACGTGTGACGAAAAAGCTGATAGCTCAGGCCGGCGGTTTGGCTACGTTTCTGGACTTATCATGCTTGTTTTTTTTTTCGATCACAAACCATGGTGACTAATAAAATACATTGTTTTCCTTTTTTAGCCATAGATTAATAATTAGTGTATACTGTAGTTGGGTCGACACCGTATACTTTTTTTTCTACAGCTAGGCCTAGACCCTAACTAAGGCAAACAAAAATCAAGAGTTGTGTTTCCGGGTTACGCCTTACTTCCGGTGATGAAAGGTTTGTTATTATTATTATTATGTTATTTACAATTTTATCTCTATAAACTATAAATGTCTAAAAGATATAGATCTAGACTACATTTCTATTGACTACTGAATTTTTAAAAAGCTGTTATTGGTATTATTTCGTTTTAGGTAAAATTGGCCGAAGCTAGTATTAGTTTAGTTAAGTTTAGTATTAGAATGTGAAAGAAAAGTGACTCATTTTTAATTTAATAATTTTAGTTTACTTTAAGTAAAACTAAAAGTAAATTTTAATTTTACTCGCTTAATCATTAGTGAGATTGCACTTAAATGGCACTAATGAAATGCCTAAGTCAAAGTGAGTGACAATGTTTGGAAATTTAATTTAAAGAAAATCACACGGCCACGGGCCGTTTTCAATATCAATATCATATATGAAACAAAAAATGTAAAAAAAAGGCACTGTTTTCCCGGTGTGCTAACCCCAGGTTCAAAATCAGATCCTGAAGGGCTGTAAACTTAAGCTGCTGCACTGTTGACTACCACACCCAAGCCCAATGTAAAAAAAGTATTAGGGTAAAGGAGGGCGTTAAGAGCCGTGTGGTATTAAGCCCCAATCAACACCCCACCCCCACAAAACCCCCAATAACACTGCTAATCTACTTCTGAGGTAACAACGACTGCTGTTCTTTGATAACAGAGAAGCAGAGGATTCATTTTATGTAATTTATGATCCACTTGGTCCAATAGGGAGAGGATGAGACAGGATTTAATCCCACTGCTCTTTCCCTAAAATTTCTCATCTCCATAAAACCATTTTGTGAACTTTTTTTCCAAATAGACATAACTTGGGAAACTTCACTTTGTAATAAACCAAATGAGTTTTTCAAGCCCATTCTTTGTTCCTGTATTAGAGTATTGGTTGTTGTACATTTTAACACTATTTTTATAGCTATGGCTAGAAAAGTTTTATTTTGGTGAATTTTTTTTGCACAGTGATTATTGGTGCCAAAACAAAATGGCCGACATTAGTCCCATTTTACCATGCTATAAAGTTTTTATCATTATCAGAGTAAAACTTGACTGATCATTACCATAATGGTTTTATTTGTTAGATAATAACTAAATCTACATGAATACATTCATTTTGTTCACTAGCTTGCCTGTTTAGAAAAGTTATAACAGATACTGTTATGTGGCTCTTGAAACCCTATGTGCAAGTTTCTCATTTATTAGACCACTGAATATGACACTGGTATAGGAATAGTTAACACAAAATGTATTAATTGTTAAACAGACTTGTGTCTAAATGATAGAAATACTATTCTAACCTGCTAAAAAGTAAAAATTCAGTCATCTCATGTTAGCAAGGTAATTTTTAAAATGGTATGAGTACTTATTACCCCTAAGGGGCAATACAGCCGACTCAGCCCCCACCTGTTTCTAACCAACCATAAAACTTCTAATCTCTTTGTAGGTAACAGGAATAAATGTTCTTAGGTCTCAGCCAATCTGGGGTGGTATGTTATGTAATTTATGACCCTCATGGTCCAGCAGGGAAGTAAACAGACACATTAATACCACTGCTCCCCCCCCCCCTTACAATTTCTTACCCCCATGATACCCAGCCCCCACCAGTTTCTGGCCCACTATAAAACTTCATCTCTTTGTAGGTAACATGGATTACAGTTACAGATCTCAGACAATCTGGGGTGGCATGTTATGTAATATATGACCTTCATGGTCTAGCAGGGTGGAGACCAAAGAGGAATCAGTACCACTGCTCTCCCCTCACAATTTCTCACCTCCATGATAGCCAGACCCCACCTGTATCTAACCCACCATAAAACTTATCTCTTTGTAGGTAGCATGGACTTAGTTCTTAGATCTCAGCCAACCAGAGATAGCATCTCCTTGTGTAATTTATGGCCCTCAGGGTCCAGCAAGGAGAACAAAGGGGAAACCAGTACCACTGCTCTCCCCTCAACATTTCTCACCTCCATGTCATGTTATGTAATGTATAGCACACATGGCTTATCAGGGGAAAGCATTAAGGCAGATTAGTTAGTACCAACCCTTTTTACATACAAGAATGTTAACTCTGGACAGCTACACACTAGTATACTAGCTACACACTAGGCATACTAATGTGCCTACTGTAAACTACTTGACTTTAGGCCCTATGTACACCTGTAATTGTATCAATTGTAGACTGGGCCCATTGGGGCCTAGTGATAGCTAGTATCACACCATTAACTATTTTGGGGTTAGAAATTAATTATTTTTTATTGAGGAGTTAGTCTAAACTAGGAGATAATGCTTATTGCCCCATTGCCCGGCTCCTTTCACCCCAAATGCTGATTTCGGGGGTATGACAATAAATGTTCAATTAAACCCATTTAAAGTATATTTAATAGACTTTGTTATTATTTTTATATTGTGTAAGATATGTTACAATAATTTTGCCATATTTTCAATACTAAAAAATTCTTAGATTAGTAGAAATCTTTAAAAATGTACAGGTGCTAAAAAGTGTGGCTCTTAACGCCCTCCTTTACCCTAAGCATTTTCATTTTCAATCAGAAGATGGCAAATCCAAATGGAAATAAACACTGCTTCATTTTCTTACCACATGTCACAAAATATATCATAATTCCAAACATAATATAGGCCTAGGTAGCGTAGTTAAATATAGCACCTATTTTTAGAATGTGTCCTACTCATTTAAAAAATGCTCTGATCGCTTGGTAACGTATAGTCACTTCGTAATTTATTTTGATTTTAGAATTTTAGGCCTTTGTTTTAAATGTTTCATGTAATGTAGGATTTAGCTAGCCTATTGTAGATGTGCCTGTTTTAAACAATTGTATTTACATATTTCTTTGTATTTACATATTTCTGTGGTAAATTAAGATTAGCAATTATTTTTATCAGATGCAACAACTTTGTAGCTATCTTACTTATTAGTTATTATTTGGTAGGGCCTGCCCTAAATTCTAAATTGCTAGGATTTCCAGGGAAAACCACTCTAATTTAGAGATGGATGCTGTTTATATAGTACGAGCTGCCGCAATCTAGTTTTATTATCTGTTTATCAGTATCTCATAATTTGTGACAGTTTACTGACAACAATGAAAAGATCAAGCAGAATTTCTTACCTCCCCTTCATTTCCAATCATTTAAATACTAAATTATCTGCCCCTAATAGCCGTCACTAATTCAACCCGGCTCTATGATTGTAAACATATAGTGTTAACCACAGCTCACCAGACTGGTGAAGTGTGGGCGGTTGGTAGCGATATGCCTAGAGAGCGGGGTAGTAACGGCTAAGCCCTTACTTGGTGGTGTCTTGCATCGTCCCCACGTAGAGAATTATATATATAGATATGCCAAATCTTGCTCTCAAAATTACCCCCCTCTCAATTACCCCCCCCGGGGAATTACCCCCCCCCCCCCCCTCTCAAGTTAAAATCCTAACTCTAACTAGAATTGTATACCTTATATACTACTTTAATCCAAACCTTAAGAAAAAGACCAAAACCTAAGCATCCACCTTAGCCTAAAACTTCACACAAAGCCAAAATCAAAGCTAGACACAACCCTAACCCTAACACTAGCTCTAACTTTAACCCTAGCCCTAACCCTAATCTTAACCCTAACCCTAACCCTAATCTTAACCCTAACCCTAGCCCCAGCCCTAGCCCTAAACCTAACCCTAACCCTGTCCCGGGGGGGGGGGGGTGGTAATGTCCTACTGGGCGGGGGGTAATTGACAGGGGGGTAATTACTCTGGGGGGTAATGTCGGGGGGGAAATATCCGGGGGGGGTAATTGACAGGGGGGAAATGCCCTGTTCCCGGAATAGCCATATACTTGCAGTGAAGCCATATTAATGAGTCACCTTCCTTTAAAATAACTAACTTTGGTCGATTTTATATTAATATAGGCCCTATCTAAAATGGTAGATTACCCTTTTATTCACAGTATCCAAATCTATAACCAAAAGATTATATGAATATCATTGTATAGTAATACTATAGTGACATGGTCTGGTTTTAAAATTATTAAATTAAATAGTCTGCTGGTTATAGATCTGGCTAGGCTTCTGTAGTCTCTCTACCCAATAGTTATATATAATAATAATCTATGACTAAGCAAACAGGGCTTGTAAGTAGGTCACCAACTTCTTGTACTTGCCAGCTAGTATTTTTTAAACCAAATGCCTAATGTGAATGTTTTTATTATATTTTAAATAGGTAAATAAATATTTAATGAGAAAAGTTATTTCCGCTCTTGTTATTTAAAATCCTAAACAATGATAGTGATGGACTACAAGATGTAGGCTAGCTTAAAAAAGATATAGCCTATGTTAAATTGTGTTTTTTTTTTAAAGGTTGATTATTATTCAAAACCATAATAAATTGTCCTAAATGTTCTTACAATATTAATCCAATAGCCTAGGCCCACTGGTGCTTAATTTGATTAAGTCAGATTTTTTTATACTTGTTGCATTTTTGGTACGCTTGGTATTTTAAAATATTAGGCCTAAAAACAAATAGGCACTATTATTTTTTTGTCAGTGAGAATCTTGTTTAAAACAGTTTATTTAGTTGAAAAATGTATATTTCTCCCTGGCAAATGAGATTTAGAAAATAGACCCAGACTTACAAGCCCTATGACACCCACTATTTGAGCCACTGTAAATTTTAAACTTAATATGTAAAACAATTTTTATTTTCTACAGATTAGAATGTAGCCTTTCCTCTAGAACTATTTTCAAATGTTATGTCAACAACAACATATGCAGTACTGAAATAAATGGGGAATCAACTAACAGGGGAGGCGCCTGTTGTTATTTATCCAGTAGAACATTATTTGGCAGATTTGCCTGATTATGACTTTCTATCAAGGTACTGTACTTTCCTGTATGAGAGCTGCATTGAGGCGATTAATATAACAAAAAATTAAGAAAATTACTGACCACATAATGAAAATTCAAAATTTAAATAACTGATGTTTAAACACAAAGTTGGGTTAGAATATTCTAACTATAACTTAATATACTATACTCTGATGAGAAGTAAATAGTAAACATTTTTTTCAATTTCAGTCTTGGTAGTACACGTTTTTTTAAAGTAGCACGTGCCCGTTACAAGGAGGGGTTGGTTGTTGTTCGTATATTTGTCATCCAAGCCTCGTCTATACCACTACCATTAAAGGAGTACCAGGATCGACTTGATGGTAAAATAACACATAAATCTGAATATTTATTTTATCTGTTTGTGATATGCATGACTTGATTCTCTTTTGTTATTTTATATTTTATGCTTTTTTGTCCAGCATATTTAAAAACCACACTGTTTAACACAGCCCTTGTTTAAGGTTTATTTATTAGTGTATTTTTATTGACAGTTTTCATACAAATTAATGGTGCAGTAAATCGCAGCAATGTGTTAACTATAATAAGAGTGATGATTATGTAGATTATTGATTCAACTAACCAAACATGCATTGACTTGTTTGTATATATGTGTTATATTTTAATGTGCCTTTTCAGATATTTACAAAAGTTTGAAAAATGCCCCAAATTGTCTGCCATTCCAAAAACATGTGGTAGGTAGTTTATCTTGCACACACATTTTAAAATGTAATTAACTTTATTCAGGTGAAAGTTCTTAGGCCACCTGAGCCTTTCTCTGCCATTCATTGTTTTTACACTGTTTTATATCACAAATTACTGTTTCTGGTGTGGTCAGTATAGAGCACTTTCACCTTAATCACCCTAACTTGGGAAGGTTGGGTATGTTTGAGGGCTGGGTGGACCTAGAGTTAGCACTGTAGTTAAGATTTTATTTTTAACAAACACATATCTACATTATCTTTTGATAAAAAATATAAAACATTTGCATTAATATTATATTTATTGTGGTGTTACTAACTCACTGCATTATAATTATTTTAAATAAAGTTTATCTACATTTAGAATTTTTATAGTATTTAGTCATGTTTTTGTTAATGAGTATTACAATCAGTTCTTTTTATGTGAGAAACTTGTTACAGCAAAGATTAAATCAAGCTGTAAAGTATTGATATCATTTGTTTATTTTATGCAAATTGTTATGACAGAAACTCGACAGAGCTGCGTACTTGATCAGACAGTACATCAAGTACAGCCTCTATGACCGTCTCAGCACACGTCCATTTCTGACCCTGATTGAAAAGAAATGGATAGCATTTCAACTGCTGTGTGCCCTCAACCAGTGCCACAAAGTGCAGGTAAAGAAATAAAGTTTCTGATATCACAGTCAGCAGAGCAGGTGAAATAGAGCTCGCCTGTTTCTGTGACCTTGCTTGGTGTATGAATAGTGTGTGGTATGTTCTGAAAAGAACAGGTGCTCATGCAATATTGGTGAGTTTGAGATGAATGATAAACAAAAGTTGTAACTACTATAAACCAACGTACATTTTATTTTTAACTTCTATTTGAAGATGTACATTCTGTATACACAGGTTTGCCATGGCGACATCAAGGCAGAGAACATCCTCATCACAGGCTGGAACTGGCTGCTACTGACTGACTTTGCCAGCTTTAAACCCACTACACTGCCTTATGTGAGTGCTATGTTTTTATCTTTTTTCTTCAGATGGCTCAAGTAGAGATGTTTAATTATTTTTCACTGCTGAGTACTGTTCAAACATTCAATAATTTAATAAATACTTAATATTTATGACATGGTGTTTGATTTAATGGTTTATACAATAATAGTTTATTCTTGTTCATTAAATCTTTCTGTCTTTGATTAGGATAACCCTGCGGACTTTGCATATTTCTTCGACACCTCACGTCGCAGGGTGTGCTACATTGCCCCCGAGAGGTTTAAAGGGAAGCCAACCTCTGACGGGAGCTTGGACACTGGTCTTGATGACTCACAGGTCTACAAAGAACTGACTCCAGCCATGGATATATTCTCTGCTGGGTGAGGGGACTACAGTCGAGTTGATTTTAAAATTTTGTTTACCTTAAGTCTAATCTTTTCTGGGGATTTTTTTTTGTTTACTTTTCCTGCCTGTTAACATCACTTTAATTTTGGAAGTATTGTTATTATGTAGGAAATTGGTTACCTTAGTATTTTAACATGCCCTAAAACTTGGAGGGGGAAGATGAAAAATTGAACTCTTACACATAAAATCTAGGTAATAAAATAGTAAATAATAAGTAATGATGTATTTGAATTAAAAAGTAGTACCTAAAAGGCTTGTTTGAGCATTATTGAATGGAAGCGAAATTGCATTATTTGCCAGAAAATATCATAATCTTTATTAAATAATAACTCGTCACACCCTTGAATTTATTTTTTTAAAAAATATTTTACAAGCCTGTTTAATGGTTTTGAATAGTCTCCTTTACTGTTTCTGAGTAGCGTTAAAACAATGTGTTACCTGTCCTAAGATGCACTGTACTGTTATTCCAGGTGTGTGATCACAGAGCTGTTCTGTGATGGTATTCCACCTTTTGATCTCTCACAGCTCCTCAACTACAGCTGCAAGAACTACAGCCCCTGGAAGCTGATTGACACCATTCCAGACAACAGCATTAAGGTTAGCCTTGGATTCTGTTGTTAACACACATTCACAGTATCTAAGCTAACATGTGATGAAACTTATTGTGACTGCTCAGAAAATGAAGTTTCAATGGAAAAATTGTTCTGTCACTTATTTCATATTCAGCTCTATTCATTCAGTTATCTTTGCTTACCTCAACCTTCCATTATTACTCATCATTACTGCTTCCATTTCTAACAACCCTATTATTACCATTAGATTCACCTTTCCTCCCATAGATACTTAGTTGTCTTTTCCTCCCATTGCTAGATTTCTTCTTCCATTCATTAAACTCTCCTCCCCTTATTACCACTCAACACTTTCTCAGATTGGTTGCCCTCATCTCCCATTACTTTCCTCCCATTGCCAGCCTTCCTATCTTTCTATGCCTAGATCTCTCCTCCCATCTTTACTCAGGCCATCTCTCCTCCCACCTTTACTCAGACCCTCTCTCCTCCCACCTTTACTCAGACCCTCTCTCCTCCCACCTTTACTCAGACCCTCTCTCCTCCCACCTTTACTCAGACCCTCTCTCCTCCCACCTTTACTCAGACCCTCTCTCATCCCACCTTTACTCAGGCCCTCTCTCCTCCCATCTTTACTTAGGCCCTCTCTCCTCCCATCTCTACTCAAGCCCTCTCTCCTCCCATCTTTACTCAGGCCCTCTCCCATCTTTACTCAGACCCTCTCTCCTCCCATCTTTACTCAGACCCTCTCTCCTCCCACCTTTACTCAGACCCTCTCTCCTCCCACCTTTACTCAGACCCTCTCTCCTCCCACCTTTACTCAGACCCTCTCTCCTCCCACCTTTACTCAGACCCTCTCTCCTCCCACCTTTACTCAGGCTCTCTCTCCTCCCACCTTTACTCAGGCCCTCTCTCCTCCCATCTTTACTCAGGCCCTCTTTCCTCCCATATTAACTCAGGCCCTCTCTCCTCCCTCTCAATCCCAGCTCACCCCTCCCTCTCTGACCCAGCTCACCCCTCCCTCTCTGACCCAGCTCACCCCTCTCTCCGACCCAGCTCACCCCTCCCTCTCTGACCCAGCTCACCCCTCTCTCTGACCCATCTCACCCCTCCCTCTCTGACCCAGCTCACCCCTCCCTCTCTGACCCAGCTCACCCCTCTCTCTGACCCAGCTCACCCCTCCCTCTCTGACCCAGCTCACCCCATCCAGTACAGTCTCTCAAGACATCCCAGATGTCAAATAAAGTGTCTTCTCTACCCCAGGAACTGGTGGAACACATGACCAACAGAAAGCCAGAGATGCGACTCTCTGCAGAAGAATATCTGATCAAACAAAGAGGCAAAGCATTCCCAGAGTTTTTCTACACATTTTTTAAGACCTATTCCCAGCAGTTTGCCACAGTTCCCATCATGCCCTCAGATGACAGGATATTAATGTAAGTCCTTGACCTTTTGTATCTGGCCTGTTTAAATGAATAGCTTTGATTACATTCTCATGTTGTAGTACATGTGACAGTTTTATTTAGTATTGATTCTGTTATTTTAGTATTTGCTTCCATATTAGGGTTGTTATTTAATTGTAATACAAAACTGTACTGACATTTATTTCTCTCTTGATTTGGCTGTTAAAGTCAGTGTTAGCTTGTGCTTTTGTTAGGAGTTAGGCAATTGCTGGCATTATTGTCTTAAAATTTTGGGTCTTGTTGTAGTGCTTGTAATATAAAAATATCTTGCTTATCTTAATCTTTGGTCCCAGATTTGAATGATTCTCTTGAAAGTATAAAACGTGTAAACTGTAACACATAGTATATGTACCTTTATGTTGATTTTGTCTGCTCTATGTGTCACTCTACCCCTCTGTACATACAGATTAAATCGAGACATGGACCACATACTAGCCAGCATGGATATTGATGAAAAAGTTGAGAAAAACACAAAATTAGTCCTTGTCATCTCTCTAGTCACATCAGTTGCCAGGGATCTGCATGTGAGTTCACCGGTTTAGTTATTTAAAAAGAACATCTTTCAATAGGTTGATGGGCACATGTTATGCATTTGCTGCTATGGCTTTAAGATACAATTATTTACTATTGGACTCCATTTTGTTTATGTATTTACTAGTTTTATTGTTAAATTTTGTGAAGTCTAGTTTATTTTTAAATTTTATTTCTTGACTAAAGGATACTGAGATGTGTTTGCCTTTAAGGCTGCATAATTTGCTAGTTCAGCAGGTTTTAATAGACCTTTTGTGATGTTTTAAAACTTTTATACTGTGATGTTTTAAAACTTTTATACTGTGATGTTTTAAAACTTTTATACTGTGATGTTTTAAAACTTTCAGTTCAGCAGCTTCCGACTGCTAGCCTTGAAACTTTTACTGCAACTGTCTCAGCACGTCACGTCAGATATTATTCTGGACAGGATTTTACCCCACATGGTAACTATTTGCTACCCACAATTTATTGTTGAATCCTGCTTGTTAAAACTTTGCTTGTTGACATAAGAAGACAAATGGGGAAATACCTACAGCTGTCTATTTTCATAACTTTTATCAATGTAGTTTCTTTCATCATGTAGGCCTACTGGTGTTTAATAAATATTAGTTGCATTCTTGTTTTATGGGTCTTAACTTTCATGTTTAGATATATGATTATTCAAAACTAAATCTGTTAGATACTAGTCCCTTGTTCTTAATTAGAACATGTTTAAGGTAGTTCAATATTAATTGAAGAAGACTGCTATCTATGCACTTTTAATAAGGAAATGATTACCACTATCTTAGCTGTATTTTACCCAAGATCCTTTGCCTGAGGTTAGGGCTGAGACCATACGAGCTGTGACTGCTTGTTTGAAAAACATAAAAAGTGTTCCACGAAAGTAAGTGTCAGTGTGTCTGTCTAAAATGTATTTTTGTTGGATGTTTTTTCTTGGTAATAATACAACTAAATTGTGTCATTAAGTTAACAAAGAGCTGTTTTGTAGTGTTTCATTTGCAATTTTATGGTAGTTTGCACTTTTATATGCTTCATTTATTTGAATCGTTTCACATATTTTATCTACTTAAAACATCACAGAACTGTTCATCATATTTTTTGTGAACTAAAAGTATTTGCCTAATAACGTGTAATATTAAAAATGTTTTTTTGTTTTTTAGTGATGCCAACGTCTTTCAAGATTATATCATTCCAGCTCTTGTAAGTTTTTACGTATTCATTCTGTTTAGTTAATTCATCCTGATGTTCCATGTAGTTATTATTTTTTTAGTCATTCTACATAAAAGTGATTGAAGTTAGTTGTCTTCTTCATTAATTTTTTTAAGGATTTTTTTTTAAAGTCAACCTTCCTGTTGTGATTTTTCATTTCTTGTTTCTAAATTTACCCTTCAGTGATAATTTCTTTTATTCTTTCCTGATTTCTTTAGTCACCCCTCTTGAGTGATTATTTCCCTGATTTCTGTAGTCACTCCATCCAAGTGATGATTTGTTCCTGATTTCTTTAGTCACCCCTCTTGAGTGATTCTAGGTCAGGTTGTTTCTAGCTTACACTGATCACTTATTGCTGCAAGGTTTTGTCTTCCTAATCTATCAATGGGTGATGTTTTTTACTTTCTCGTATATACGAAGTGTAGAGAAAGTCTTGTAATCGTGCAAAAAAAAAAAATCGAGATTTTTGCAAATCTCGACGTTTTGCATCTCACTGATACGGAAAAACATAATTTTGCAATCTTGTCCGTATGTCTGTGTGTCTGTGTGTGTGTGTGTGTGTGTGTGTGTCCGTGTGTAAACACGATAACTTGAGTACCGTTACAGCTAGGTTGATGAAATTTCATATATAAGTATTTAATCAAAATCGTAGATCCGTATCAACTTTTGAGCGATTTCCGATAACCGGAAGTGGTACTTTTCCTACTTTGAATTTTTAAAAAGCCTATAACTTGAGTACTATTTCAGATAGATAAATGAAATTTCATACGTAAGTAAAAGATCTAATTCTCTACCTTCTATTAAATTTTGAGTCATTTCCGTTGACTGGAAGTAGTACTTTACGCTACTTCCGATTTCTCAAAAAACTAATGTAAATTTTAAAAGTAATAATAATATTGCGCACTATTATGCGCTTTTTTATTTCGCGTTCACTTGGTGTGCAATTAATTTGTCTACGAGATTTTATTCTATTTTTAAAACTTTAAGTATTTAAAATGGATTAAAAATCATGTCTATAGCCCGAGTTCCCATCCCCTGTTATTTTATATAAGAATATTCGAGAAAGTTTAGGGGAGATCACTCCCGGTTTATTTTTCCTGATTTTTTTAGTCACCCCTCCTGAGTGATGATGTGTTGCAAGTCAAACTGACATTTGCTGAAAACATTGCCGAGCTTGCTGACATTGCTGTTAAGTAAGTAGCTCCTACTGACTTTTTTTTGTAACTTGTGAGTTGTTGCAAGTTGTTACAACATGCTGTCGGCCCAACACCCCATTTTTTTTTCTGATTTTATTTTTTTCTTGTGCTACAATTGTATCTTATATTATTTCAAAGAAATTAATTTGTTTTATAGATGCCTTTTAACCATTAAAGTAAGCTCCTGTTATGCAAGGTTTGTTTTTAAGTATGTCAACATTCCAACTCAGATATCTAGACATGGCTCAGGCTCAAGAGATACGAGAGGTCATTGTCCAGCTCAAAGACCAGCAGAGGGACAAGGCGTCCATCTCAGAAACTGTTATTAATGTCAAGGTACATGAGAAACCTGTTAAAAAAATCACAAAAAGTTTGCTTGTATACAATCATGTGTTTCTCTCATATGTTACTTGATTCTATGTGCAACTCTATGTAAGGGCTATTTTCATTTTTTTTAAACATCTAAGATGTCTAATTTCCATAGTATTGTTTTGTTTTATAATGTAAAAAGGGTGTTGGTATTTTGATTGAAAGTTTAATTTTAACTTCTCTACAGAAGAGTGCTGAGGAGCTGAAACCAGAAATACAAGAAGCAAGTATCACTAATTAATAAATTAAATCTTACTTTATTGTTTAAAAATAATTTGCTGGTGTTTAGTAACTATCAATGTTTTGCATTGTTTCTTTTTTCTAATTTAACTTCTTTACATCTAATCATTGAATTTATATTTCAATTACTTTTTCTATTGATTTTTGTTTATGTTTTTCACTACATAATGGTACTTAAAAATAAATGTGTTTACAGGTTGAGTCTAATTATGATATGGAACTCCAGCAGTTAAAAGATTTAATTCATCAAAAGATTTTCCACCTCTTAAGTGACCCTAATCATGCGGTCAAGATGACTTTGATGGCAAATGGCATGGACAAGTTGTGTCTCTTCTTTGGACGGCAGAAAGGTAATTTTAAATTTATTTCAATTTATAGTAGAATTTTATTACATTCATTATTGTTATTATTACATTCCTAAAATAACCTATCAATTAATTTTAAACTAAATTGACGAAAGATGTTTTTTAAGGCCAAATTGTACTCTTAAATAAGATGTTTGAAAGTTTTGCTGTTTTTAATTACTAGTACTTTTTTCTTTATTTTTTTTTTATTATCACTGTTGAGAAATAGAATTACTTCAATAGCGGTATTTTTGCTTGCATTTTATTTCTATTTACAATAAAATTTTCACAATTTACTAAATCTTAACTCCAAAACTTTATTTCAGCTAACGACATTTTGCTATCACATATTGTCACCTTTTTGAATATTAAGGTAAGAAAATTTTAAAGTTGATTTTTGCTACCATCTGCAAATATGCACATAATCTTTTTTTTTTAACAGTATTAATCCTTTTGCCAAAAGTATTTTCCAAAAATTTGATACTATTAAGGGGATATGCACATTTTTTTCCTATTTCTTACAATTTAATATCTAAAGCCTTTTGAATACTTTAATCATGTTTGGCATATAAAAGTAAGTATTAAACAGCAAAAAAAGGGTTGAAAACAATTTTGGTTGTCATGGAAACCCAAAACAAACTCCGCCATTTTGAATTTTTTGGTACTTTTAAAAATACGAAGGCTTTTTTATTTATGCACCTATAGCAATCAAATTTAAACTGCTTATACTTCAGTATATATTAAAACTTTTGTCACGAAAACTTTTTGACCTGAGAAAAACAGCCAAAATTAACGAAAAGTAGGCCACGAAAATACCATATCCGTGTAAACTGCAAAGCCTATTGTAAGCTTTGGGTGTTTCCGAGATGATGGAAAGATTATCAAATACATGAGAAATCCAGCTTTCCAATGATGCCAAATACAATATGATGACGGATATAAAACGTTTCATAGAGAGGGTGGTAGATTGGGAAAAATTGATTATTTTTTTTAAAAAATGGTAATTTAAACACCTAAAAAATTTTTTTCCTCTTTAAAGTTATTATTTTCTTAATACAAAAATGAACAAAGTATCCAAAAGTGCAAGAAACCCATCATGAGGAAGATCAAGAAATTTTTTTGCAGCACATAGGCCTACCCGATTAAGCCTTTAAACTAATCCAACGTTTAAAAACAATTGACTCGTTAGAAAAGATTTTGTTTAGTTTAGCTGATTAATTAACTCTATCATATTCATTGTCTTGTTGAATTATTTGCTGATATAAATAATTGCATTAAATAAATTATTTGGCAGGATGACTGGCGTCTTCGTGCTTGCTTCTTCAAGACAGTGGTGGATGTGACAATGTATGTTGGTTGGCAGTGTTCAGAAGTGTTATTGCCCTTGTTGCAACAGGTGACTTATCTCCCTTGCTGGTTTTTTTTTTTCTTTTTTTTAATTTGAAATTTTTGTTATTATATTGTACTTGCCATTTCTGTTGTTTTTTTTTATATCTGAATTTGTGTGTGTGTGCTTAAAATGTACTTTTTATTTAATTTTGTACCTCCTAGTTATTTCTCTACCCTCCAGTTACCATTTAACTGTTTTTTTCCTTAGGGCTTGAGTGATGTGGAAGAGTTTGTCATTACAGAAGACCTCCATGCCTTGAAACAGCTAACCAATCACAGATTACTTAACAAAACCATGATGCAAACACTGGTTTGTGATGCAGCTGCCCTTTTGGCACATCCAGTAAGTTTGTGAGAAATTTTAATTTTTCACCCACAAGATTAACTTCTGTAGTAGAAACTAAGTAAAACAATTTTGGAAACCTTAGTAAAAATTGCTATATTTTCTTATTAGAGGGCATTCAAAAGCTTATTGATATTTATTTTTTATTGTTTTTTATTTTCTGTGTTTTAGTAGTTTAAATTTTTTTTTTAAAGTAAATTAATAGGTTGATATTTGACATTTTAAAAACAGTAGTTCATTTTTTTTATTATTTATTATTAATGAAGTCAAAACTCTATTTAGCTCAAAATAATTGTTTTGAACCCTAGCTTGTGATCTTTACTCTAAAAGACATTTAATTATGGTCAGTTCACAAATGTGAAAACCTTAGTCAGTTGGCTAATAAATAATTGCTGGTACTAAATCCTGTTATCTACTAACCTCCTCTTGTTATAGAATATAGCAATCTTTAATTTAATTTTTACTGACAAATTTGACATCTAACTAGATCGAAAATGAGATATTCTTGCAGTGTCATTAAAAACTTATTTATCTGGAAACTCGCTTCATAAAAAGTTGGTCAAAATTGAGTTAAAAGATTTGACCACAAATCCACCTACGTACAGACAGACCAGGACAAGGCAGACATAGTGACCTAAGTAAAGCTTATAAATAAATGTACATCCACAGGGCCCCTGGGTCAGGCAAGCTGCGGTAGGGTTCATCACAGCTGTGGCTCAAGCATATGATATACCCGACCTACACTGTAAGCTCCTGCCGCATATCAGGCCTTTCCTTGTCAGGAATGTCATGCAGCTTAGGAAACCTGTGAGTCTTCTTTGTCTAATTTATTCTAATAATTTATTCTAATTATTCTAATTTATTCTTCATCACATTCCAATCTAGATCTAAGATGGACTTAAGTGGATGATTGTTTTTACCATCATATTGTTAGAAATCTTTCATGAGAATTCAGTTTTTCTTTTATAATCTCCAGTTGTCCCATCTCTATCACAGATGGAATTAGTTCCTGTTTGTTATTACCATCATATGTCCGCAATGTTGTTAATTAATAATCCTTCCTAAAAAGCCATTTTTTATAATATCATTATCTCCATTTGTTCTGAAACTGTGCACCAATAATTTTTAGCGCAATTTCCATACTGGACAATTGCGATTATTAACTCGTCATTTCTGGTGATGGATGGATGGATAGATGTGTGTCCGCAGCTTTAAGTCGTATCTCCTCCTCAACGAAGCAATATCGAGGACTAGTTCCAAAAGCAAATATGTTAAGCAAGTTCCGAGGATGATTGTGGGCCAAAAAAATTCCCGGAATTCCTTCCTGGATTTCCCGGAAAAGCCAAAAAACCTCGAAAAAATGCAGTTTTTGGCCCATATCTCGGCAACAAGACCACTTAGCAACTTGAAACATTTACCAATCGATTCCTGCCATAATTTAGAACAATATTGCCGAAGAAAGTTTTCAAAAATATCCTTTCGTTCGGTCACAAAAAATTAATTAAGAACATTTAAACTGAGCATCGTGTAGGCCTAGGATGATATTTACTACTTTTTTAAACTGAGCATCGTGTAGGCCTACTCGTTAAAGTAAAACTATTTCCGTTGATATAGGTTAATATAGTTGTCTTTTTTTTTAGCGCAAAAAAAATATCCTTTCGTTCGGTCACAAAAAATAAAAAATTGTTATGGATAACATAAGGAAATTGCGCTTAAATTGTCACTAGACTTTTTATTAACTTGTTTGTTTTGTAACATTTTGAAATCTCCTCCCTTTACTGAAACACATGGCCTAAAGTCCAGCTGTAACTGTGTCATCATATTTTTCCTGGTATTCCTCACAGAGCATAGGTCCTCTGTCAAAGCTGTCCACTCCCCATGGTCTCCTGCCACTCTTTTCAGCTGTTCCCACTTCCCTCCTATCCTGCCTCCCCCAGCAGGCTATGTTACCACGTCTTCTTGGGTTGACCTCTGTGTCATTTGCCCTGGAGCTTTTATTCAACTTCTGCCTGGCTAATGTCCAACTCTTTAGTGTGATGAGTTATAAAAGAACTTTGTTTAAATGGGGTTTAGTATTGGACTAATTGGCTAATGTTTAACTCTTCAGTGTGATGAGTTTAAAAAAGCACTTAGTTTAAACTGGCTGTAGTATTGGCTTGTCTGGCTAATGTTCAACTCTTCAGTGTGATGAGTTATAAAAGAACTTAGTTTAATGAGGCTGTAGTATTGGACTGTCTGGCTAATGTTTAACTCTTCTGTGTGATGAGTTATAAAAGAACTTTATTTAAACTGGCTGTACTATTGGTTAATGTTCAACTCTCCAGTGTGATGAGTTATAAAAATTTTTGTTTCACCAGGCTGTAGTTTTGGATGCTCTAGCTGACCCCATTCCTCGTGAAGTCTTTGACTACCTGCTCAGATCCCCCCAGCTTGATGCTGTGTTTGAAGTCATGGCCAAACATCAGTACATCAGGAGCATCTCTAGACAGCCTAGGAAAAACATTCACGAGGCTGAAGAGAGTGTAGCACAAGTGAGTTAACTTTAGTAAGGTATTTTTGTCAGATAACTCTGTAGTTACACATTAGTATTTTTATTTTTAAGAAATATTTGCAACTTAGAAGCAATTATCAGCTTTATTCATTTTTAATTGTGGGATCAAAAAAATTTCAAAACAGATATTTTGTAATTGATTCAATAAACATTTTTTTTTTATAATTGGATTCTTGTGTCTGTCAGAAATTAATTTAGTCAATTGCTTGAGAGTTTATAAAACAGTTTTACTATAAGTTGATGTTTTCGAATCTGTCATATATTTATTTACTAAATGCTTATAAAACAGTTTCACTTGACATTTATACTTCTGTTCTGACAGGTGTTTCGTAAGTTGAATTCTCTTGGACTTACAGATGAGTTTGAGAAAAAACTTCTGGTAAGTTATGGAAATTAAGCATGCAATATTTAGTATACAATTAGAATTTTTTTTATAGAAATTTCTTAGTTCAGTATATTATCTAGTTTTTTTTTTATGTGTGTAAATGATAATAGATTAAGCAACTATTTGAATTGCTATTACGTAAAACTTCTTTGGTTTAAAAAAAAACATAGCCAGTTTACTTCTCTAACTTGATATAACTCTAGGTCAGGTTGTTTCTAGCTTACACTGATCAGTTATTGATGCAAGATTTTGTCTTCCCAATCTATCAATAACAATTTACCAAAATCTTTTTCTATAGGCTATGAAGGACTTCATGTTACGATTGCACAAAAATAAATCTGGGTAAGTTGCTAATGGTATGGTAATGAACTCTTTAAGACCAAAAATGACACATATTATAAAGAAGAATTAACTTGCATATTACAAGGTGTTATCAATTATGTTTTTAAATGTCTGCCCTCATCAAATTATTTGCCATAGGGTGTGTAACCAGAACAGAAATTGCCTTAATGTGAGACTTAAGCACCCCTATCTGTAAGATGTGGGTGGAAAACACTGTTGGTATTCTTTACGGGCATGGGCAGGTGATGAAAACACAATGAGCCAAAATGCTTATTTCTAAGCCTAATGCTATCATATTTAGCATATAGTTGTAACTCAAGTTAAGTCTAAAAAATTTAAAAATTTAGCCCCCCCCCCCCCCCTTCTCCCCCAGATAAAAAAATGTCCGAAAGAAACACTGGAAGGAACTTAGACAGTTGGCAATAGTTGGATGCCAACAAAAAGTCTGACAAATTTGTTTACAACCTATGCCCATTTTCTATGATGCCTTTGTGTTTGGTTCCCCCCCCCCCCCCCCCCCAAAAATCTGGAAGAAGCACTGCTTGTGTGTATGATGCAATGCCCCTCTGGTATATAATGTTTGATGTCATAGTCAGTTGCATCACTATAAACAGAATATTTTTTTTTTTTTTTAAACTTTTATTTACCATAAAACAAATTACAACATATTTTACACTTGTAGGTTGATAATACTTTACATAATGGCAAATTATATGTTGGAGTAAAATTGATATGTACAAATCGAAAGAATAACCAAAAGGGGAACAAATATAAGCGATTAAATATAACAAATGACAAAATATAACAACATTTCCAGATTACAGTTTAACTTTTTGATCACTTCCAAAAAAAGAATATAGTTATTCATAAGTAGCCTATATTAGATTACCAACCCTTTCTGTTGAACTGACTCCAAGAATTATTTTTTGGCTGTCTACACATCAAGAATTTAATAAAATTATAGTTTTCTATTTATGCCGAAGTCAAACAATAATTCTATTTTTCTATGAAAAGTAAAGATAATACAAAGAACTATACATTGTCTTAATATTTATGTATACTAATACCTAAAAAAATATTATTGTTCTATTGATATTGAATTATTAATTGCTTTTAACTTATTCCAAGATACAAATTGCAGTTAAAGTCCCTTTATAATATTGCATTTCTAAAGGGAAGTAGCTAACATAAATTAAAATTCAATTTTAAACTATTCAAATATTTTTAAGTTTGCAGTTTTTCTAAATATATCATAACAATACACTAATCACTATTGATTTTGCTCTTAAAAATAATAAAAGTACATATTTGTTTTAAGTATGTCTTAATCAAGTTAACATTTTTATTGCTCCATTTTCTTATAAAAAAAGTATCAAATTCATATTTTAAAAAATAATCACTTTGGCAAACTAAAATTATTTCTTAAATAATTGTTTTCAATTGGATAAGGGACTCTACATTTCTGTCTACAAATTGATCATCTATGAACATTTTTAACCAACTAACAGATGATAATATTGGATGATCAGATTACAACACACATTAATTTTTGACTAGTTTAACTATTACACGTTTTTAGCCAGTTCTTTTCATAACTGAATTGAGTTACATATTTCTGTGGAAAAGTCGGTTTGGTGTTAGGGTCAGTCTGTCTTAATGCAACCAGTCTGTCTTAATGCAACCAGTCTGTCTTAATGCAACCAGTCTGTCTTAATGCAACCAGTCTGTCTTAATGCAACCAGTCTGTCTTAATGCAACCAGTCTGTCTTAATGCAACCAGTCTGTCTTAATGCAACCAGTCTGTCTTAATGCAACCAGTCTGTTTTTATACAACCAGTCTGTTTGGTGTCTCAGGTCAGCTAAGACTGTCTTAATGTTTGGTGTCTCAGGTCAGCTAAGACTGTCTTAATGTTTGGTGTCTCAGGTCAGCTAAGACTGTCTTAATGTTTGGTGTCTCAGGTCAGCTAAGACTGTCTTAATGTTTGGTGTCTCAGGTCAGCTAAGACTGTCTTAATGTTTGGTGTCTCAGGTCAGCTAAGACTGTCTTAATGTTTGGTGTCTCAGGTCAGCTAAGACTGTCTTAATGTTTGGTGTCTCAGGTCGCCTAAGACTGTCTTAATGTTTGGTGTCTCAGGTCGGCTGAGTCTGTCTTGATGTTTGGTGTCTCAGGTCAGCTAAGACTGTCTTAATGTTTGGTGTCTCAGGTCAGCTAAGACTGTCTTAATGTTTGGTGTCTCAGGTCAGCTAAGACTGTCTTAATGTTTGGTGTCTCAGGTCGCCTAAGACTGTCTTAATGTTTGGTGTCTCAGGTCGGCTGAGTCTGTCTTGAAGTCATCCAGTGCCTCCAGCCCTGGCAGTATCAACATCTCAGCCTTTGGTCGCAGCGTGACACGCAGACATGCAGACCTACACAAGAACAGGGACCTGAGCAGTGACCAAAGCCTGGCAGTCGTGTAAGCTGGCTTGATTACATACTTGTTAATTACATACTAATGTAAGCTGAATTTATTTATCATTTAATTACATCATAATGTAAGCTGACTTTACTTATCATTTAATTATATCATAATGTAAGCTGACTTTACTTATTTAATTATATCCTCCGGTAAGCTGGCTATATTTATCATCTAATTACATCCTAATGTAAGCTGACATTATATATCATATAAGTAGAGTCTAATCTAGATTAGCTTTATTAATTATTAAGTATTTGATTAGCAAATCCTAAAAAATAAACATAATGCTCAAATGAAACAACAGCTGGATTAAATATACCCAAACATAAAATTTCCATTCAACAAGTTTGATAAGATATTGCAGTAGAGCACAGTTTTCACTAAGCCTTAAGGATTATAACATTTTCCATGTTTACTTCTTGAAACCAGTTCTAGTCCCACATTGATTATTGTAATTTTTCATGAAAATTTTTACGCAACAGAAAAGCTAAGAGGCCCAAGAAACAAGACTCTGTAACAATGGTAAGTCCTGTTTTAAAATAATTCATTTTATTTTAGTAGGTGTGTGTAGTTGGTACATTTAAACAAAATTTTATAAACATTCATTCATTATGTTTCCATTTATGTATGCTTTCATTGTATAACAACTTAATAAATAATCAATATGTTTTGGGGAAAATTATTATAATTAATCAAATGGTATTATGTTAGTAGTTGTGTATAAGCACTATTCAAAGCTGTATTTTATCAATAAAGTTATCATTTGTGCTTGGAACATTTAGTTAAATTCTATTGTCTATTACTAAAGTTATCATTTGTGCTTGGAACATTTAGTTAAATTCTATTGTCTATTACTAAAGTTATCATTTGTGCTTGGAACATTTAGTTAAATTCTATTGTCTATTACTAAAGTTATCATTTGTGCTTGGAATATTTAGGTAAATTCTATTGTCTATTACTAAAGTTATCATTTGTGCTTGGAACATTTAGTTAAATTCTATTGTCTATTACTAAAGTTATCATTTGTGCTTGGAATATTTAGGTAAATTCTATTGTCTATTACTAAAGTTATCATTTGTGCTTGGAATATTTAGGTAAATTCTATTGTCTATTACTAAAGTTATCATTTGTGCTTGGAACATTTAGTTAAATTCTATTGTCTATTACTAAAGTTATCATTTGTGCTTGGAATATTTAGGTAAATTCTATTGTCTACTACTAATATGCATAGAACCCAGAGTGGAAGAAGATGTTTGGCAATGATGAGCCAGATGCCAGCAGTTTGTCCTCCTCACCCAAGACCTCGGCCCCCACCCTCCCTGACAGGCGCCAGTCAGAGACCAGCTTGAAAACTCCACAGTCAACAGCAGCCACCACCCCAGGTCAGTCTCTACCTGTGTGGTTTTATTTTTACCAATAAAAATCCACCTAAAACAAAATTATTCAACAGTAAATAATATTGGAAACTTGTATAACGAGTAGTGATCTTCTTTCTTCTTCTTCATTCTTAATTTTAGTGTTGGAAGAGATCCCCCTCCAACACAGTTAAGGATGCATGTCAACTGGTTATGCGCCATTGAGGCCATTGACTCCGATTTCAGCCTGCTTTTCTTTTTGGATTTGCTTCCATAGCCTTTGTCCAACCAAGAACAAACTACAAGGCAGCAGTTGTTTGATTTTGGAGTTGTCTCTCATAGAAGAGTGGCTGTCCCCAGCTAACGAGCCTCATCTGCCCAAGCGCTCGAACTCGAAACTTTTTGGTTTAGCAACCATGAGCTTTACCCACTCGACCACGACGACCCCTTAAAGCTAAATGAAATGATGAAATGTGAAAGACACAATGTTAACACCAATTAGACACAGTACTGACAAAAACATTATCTTGCACGTGGTCATATGACGCCAGCAATAACAAGCTGAAACAAGCTTAAACAAGGTTAAGTGCATCCTGCCCTATATGAGCCTATTTTGAATCAAATATTTTGTACCTTTTCCTGCCCTATATGAGCCCATTTTGAATCAAATATTTTGTACCTTCCAGTCAGCCTAATATGATCCTATATTGAATCAAATATTTTGTACCTTCCAGTCAGCCCAATGTACTCCAGTGTTGACAATGTACTGTCTAACGTCCAGCCTATATTGAATCAAATATTTTGTACCTTCCAGTCAGCCCAATGTACTCCAGTGTTGACAATGTACTGTCTAACGTCCAGCCTATATTGAATCAAATATTTTGTACCTTCCAGTCAGCCCAATGTACTCCAGTGTTGACAATGTACTGTCTAATGTCCTGCTCAGCTCCGAGAGCTTTCAACGTGCCCTGTCAATGTCACAGTCTAAACCAGAGAAAAAAGGTGACTTTTTTATACATCATCTTTATTAGAGCTGTTTAACAATGGCAACATTGCATCTTTCCTGAACTTGTTTTAATGGTTAGAAAAAAAATTTATGTAAACAGGAGCTTTTAATATACTTAATTTTTTTTATTTTTATTTGACCACAAAAATGATCTTTGTTGTACAGGTTGTTGCAGTTATTAAAAATGATATTTGAAGTACCTGGTGCTACAGTTATAAAAATGATCTTTATTGTACATATTGTTACAGTTATAAAAATGATCTTTGTCATACCTGTTCTTACAGTTATAAAAAATTATCTTTGATTTTGATGTACCTTATCTTACAGTTATAAAAAATGATCTTTGATGTACCTGGTTTTTAGTAGTTATAAAATTGATCTTTGTCGTACCTGTTGTTACAGTTATAAAAATGATCTTTGTCGTACCTGTTGTTACAGGTTACAAAAATGATCTTTGTTGTACCTGATGTTGCAGTTACAAAAATGATCTTTGTTGTACCTGATGTTGCAGTTACAAAAATGATCTTTGTTGTACCTGTTGTTACAGTTACAAAAAATGATCTTTGATGTACCTGGTGTTACAGTTATAAAAAATGATCTCTGTTGTACGTAAAAAATGATCTTTGTCGTACCTGTTGTTACAGTTACAAAAATGATCTTTGTTGTACCTGTTGTTACAGTTATAACCAGGTACGCCAAGTGTAAGTGGGAGCTGCGTGACCTGGTCCATCACCGGCGTGACCAGTACGAGGCGGACACCCTGTTGACCGACGCCACCTCCGGCATTGTCTGGGACATCCATCACCCGCCTGATGCCTGGAAACCTAAAGGGGTTTTGGTGGCCCACTTGCAGGAACACAGGGGGGCTATCAACAGGTCAGTTGTCGTATGGAGTCATTACTTAATAATGTCACACTACTATAGCTAATTTCTTTCACACCCAACACATATGTCATAAATTGTCATAAAGAAACAACACAACTACCCCTCTTCCCCTAAAGTCCTATCCATCCATCAAAAATATTCACAAATCTAACTATTATGTAAATCAACAAACTTTTTAAAAATATTCTAAAAAAATACTTAAATTATAGTCACACTTCGTAACCCCCTCCTCTTTCCAAACCCCCCCCCCCCCCCACCCCGGGAGATATGTGACTTTTTCATCTTATTTACTTGTAATATGTAGCAACTGTCTTGCCAGCATAGCGACCTACACTTTCTAGTTCCATATCAAGGCTACTATGATACATGGTCATCTCACAGACATGTCCCTTTACTGAGTTTTTAGTTTAATTTTTATGATGGTCAAGTACGAGGTTTTATCTGTTAAATGTATGGATTCTGCATAAATCCTTTCATCAACTTTAACCTTTACTGTAGCCTGTAATTTTTATGGGTGAAATTGTGACATCTTTTATATTTATCACCTGTCCTTATCCTGATCATTTCTGTGTGCTTTATGTTTATTGCCTGTGTCCTTATCGTGGTCATTTATGTGTGCTTTATGTTTAAAGCCTGTGTCCTTATCCTGGTCATTTATTGTGCTTTATGTTTATAGCCTGTGTCCTTATGTTTATAGCCTGTGTCCTTATGTTTATAGCCTGTGTCCTTATCCTGGTCATTTATATGTGTCCTTATTCTGGTCATATTTCTCTTGTGTCTAGACTTAGTGTCAGCCATGATCACAAGTACTTTGCCAGCTGCTCCAATGATGGGACAGTCAGGATATGGGAGAGTGGGAAGCTGGAGGGTAAAACAGCAGCCAATAGGTCCAAGGTGTGTCTCAATAAACAAGGTCAGTCACCTGGTGTTTATGTTGGGGGGGGGGGGGGGCATGGGTAAAACAGCAGCCAACAGGTCCAAGGTGTGTCTCAATAAACAAGGTCAGTCACCTGGTGTTTATGTGGGGGGGGGGGGGGGGCATGGGTAAAACAGCAGCCAACAGGTCCAAGGTGTGTCTCAATAAACAAGGTCAGTCACCTGGTGTTATGTGGGGGGGGGGGGGGCATGGGTAAAACAGCAGCCAACAGGTCCAAGGTGTGTCTCAATAAACAAGGTCAGTCACCTGGTGTTATGTGGGGGGGGGGGGGGGCATGGGTAAAACAGCAGCCAACAGGTCCAAGGTGTGTCTCAATAAACAAGGTCAGTCACCTGGTGTTATGTTTGGGGGGGGGGGGGGGCATGGGTAAAACAGCAGCCAACAGGTCCAAGGTGTGTCTCAATAAACAAGGTCAGTCACCTGGTGTTATGTTTGGGAGGGGGGGGGGGCATGGGTAAAACAGCAGCCAACAGGTCCAAGGTGTGTCTCAATAAACAAGGTCAGTCACCTGGTGTTTATGTGGGGGGGGGGGGGGGGCATGGGTAAAACAGCAACCAACAGGTCCAAGGTGTGTCTCAATAAACAAGGTCAGTCACCTGGTGTTATGTTTGGGGGGGGGGGGGGGGCATGGGTAAAACAGCAACCAACAGGTCCAAGGTGTGTCTCAATAAACAAGGTCAGTCACCTGGTGTTATGTGGGGGGGGGGGGGGCATGGGTAAAACAGCAGCCAACAGGTCCAAGGTGTGTCTCAATAAACAAGGTCAGTCACCTGGTGTTTATGTGGGGGGGGGGGGGGGGCATGGGTAAAACAGCAACCAACAGGTCCAAGGTGTGTCTCAATAAACAAGGTCAGTCACCTGGTGTTTATGTGGGGGGGGGGGGGGGCATGGGTAAAACAGCAGCCAACAGGTCCAAGGTGTGTCTCAATAAACAAGGTCAGTCACCTGGTGTTTATGTTGGGGGGGGGGGGGGGGGCATGGGTAAAACAGCAGCCAACAGGTCCAAGGTGTGTCTCAATAAACAAGGTCAGTCACCTGGTGTTTATGTTGGGGGGGGGGGGCATGGGTAAAACAGCAGCCAACAGGTCCAAGGTGTGTCTCAATAAACAAGGTCAGTCACCTGGTGTTTATGTGGGGGGGGGGGGGGCATGGGTAAAACAGCAGCCAACAGGTCCAAGGTGTGTCTCAATAAACAAGGTCAGTCACCTGGTGTTATGTTTGGGAGGGGGGGGGCATGGGTAAAACAGCAGCCAACAGGTCCAAGGTGTGTCTCAATAAACAAGGTCAGTCACCTGGTGTTATGTGGGGGGGGGGGGGGGCATGGGTAAAACAGCAGCCAACAGGTCCAAGGTGTGTCTCAATAAACAAGGTCAGTCACCTGGTGTTATGTGGGGGGGGGGGGGGGCATGGGTAAAACAGCAGCCAACAGGTCCAAGGTGTGTCTCAATAAACAAGGTCAGTCACCTGGTGTTATGTGGGGGGGGGGGGGGGCATGGGTAAAACAGCAGCCAACAGGTCCAAGGTGTGTCTCAATAAACAAGGTCAGTCACCTGGTGTTATGTGGGGGGGGGGGCATGGGTAAAACAGCAGCCAACAGGTCCAAGGTGTGTCTCAATAAACAAGGTCAGTCACCTGGTGTTATGTGGGGGGGGGGGGGGCATGGGTAAAACAGCAGCCAACAGGTCCAAGGTGTGTCTCAATAAACAAGGTCAGTCACCTGGTGTTATGTGGGGGGGGGGGGCATGGGTAAAACAGCAGCCAACAGGTCCAAGGTGTGTCTCAATAAACAAGGTCAGTCACCTGGTGTTATGTGGGGGGGGGGGCATGGGTAAAACAGCAGCCAACAGGTCCAAGGTGTGTCTCAATAAACAAGGTCAGTCACCTGGTGTTTATGTGGGGGGGGGGGGGGGGCATGGGTAAAACAGCAACCAACAGGTCCAAGGTGTGTCTCAATAAACAAGGTCAGTCACCTGGTGTTATGTTTGGGAGGGGGGGGGGGGGCATGGGTAAAACAGCAACCAACAGGTCCAAGGTGTGTCTCAATAAACAAGGTCAGTCACCTGGTGTTTATGTTGGGGGGGGGGGGGGGGCATGGGTAAAACAGCAACCAACAGGTCCAAGGTGTGTCTCAATAAACAAGGTCAGTCACCTGGTGTTATGTGGGGGGGGGGGGGCATGGGTAAAACAGCAACCAACAGGTCCAAGGTGTGTCTCAATAAACAAGGTCAGTCACCTGGTGTTTATGTGGGGGGGGGGGGGGGGCATGGGTAAAACAGCAGCCAACAGGTCCAAGGTGTGTCTCAATAAACAAGGTCAGTCACCTGGTGTTTATGTGGGGGGGGGGGGGGGGGCATGGGTAAAACAGCAACCAACAGGTCCAAGGTGTGTCTCAATAAACAAGGTCAGTCACCTGGTGTTATGTGGGGGGGGGGGGGGGCATGGGTAAAACAGCAGCCAACAGGTCCAAGGTGTGTCTCAATAAACAAGGTCAGTCACCTGGTGTTTATGTGGGGGGGGGGGGGCATGGGTAAAACAGCAACCAACAGGTCCAAGGTGTGTCTCAATAAACAAGGTCAGTCACCTGGTGTTATGTGGGGGGGGGGGGGGCATGGGTAAAACAGCAACCAACAGGTCCAAGGTGTGTCTCAATAAACAAGGTCAGTCACCTGGTGTTATGTTTGGGAGGGGGGGGGGGCATGGGTAAAACAGCAACCAACAGGTCCAAGGTGTGTCTCAATAAACAAGGTCAGTCACCTGGTGTTTATGTGGGGGGGGGGGGGGGGGGGCATGGGTAAAACAGCAACCAACAGGTCCAAGGTGTGTCTCAATAAACAAGGTCAGTCACCTGGTGTTATGTGGGGGGGGGGGGGGGGGGGGGCATGGGTAAAACAGCAGCCAACAGGTCCAAGGTGTGTCTCAATAAACAAGGTCAGTCACCTGGTGTTATGTGGGGGGGGGGGGGGGGGGGCATGGGTAAAACAGCAGCCAACAGGTCCAAGGTGTGCCTCAATAAACAAGGTCAGTCACCTGGTGTTATGTGGGGGGGGGCATGGGTAAAACAGCAGCCAACAGGTCCAAGGTGTGTCTCAATAAACAAGGTCAGTCACCTGGTGTTATGTTTGGGAGGGGGGGGCATGGGTAAAACAGCAGCCAACAGGTCCAAGGTGTGTCTCAATAAACAAGGTCAGTCACCTGGTGTTTATGTTGGGGTGGGGGGGCATGGGTAAAACAGCAACCAACAGGTCCAAGGTGTGTCTCAATAAACAAGGTCAGTCACCTGGTGTTATGTGGGGGGGGGGGGGGGCATGGGTAAAACAGCAACCAACAGGTCCAAGGTGTGTCTCAATAAACAAGGTCAGTCACCTGGTGTTATGTGGGGGGGGGGGGGGGGGGGCATGGGTAAAACAGCAGCCAACAGGTCCAAGGTGTGTCTCAATAAACAAGGTCAGTCACCTGGTGTTATGTGGGGGGGGGGGGGGGGCATGGGTAAAACAGCAGCCAACAGGTCCAAGGTGTGTCTCAATAAACAAGGTCAGTCACCTGGTGTTATGTGGGGGGGGGGGGGGGGGGGCATGGGTAAAACAGCAACCAACAGGTCCAAGGTGTGTCTCAATAAACAAGGTCAGTCACCTGGTGTTATGTGGGGGGGGGGGGGGGCATGGGTAAAACAGCAGCCAACAGGTCCAAGGTGTGTCTCAATAAACAAGGTCAGTCACCTGGTGTTATGTGGGGGGGGGGGGGGGGGGGCATGGGTAAAACAGCAGCCAACAGGTCCAAGGTGTGTCTCAATAAACAAGGTCAGTCACCTGGTGTTATGTGGGGGGGGGGGGCATGGGTAAAACAGCAGCCAACAGGTCCAAGGTGTGTCTCAATAAACAAGGTCAGTCACCTGGTGTTATGTGGGGGGGGAGGTGGGGGGGGGCATGGGTAAAACAGCAGCCAACAGGTCCAAGGTGTGTCTCAATAAACAAGGTCAGTCACCTGGTGTTATGTGGGGGGGGGGGGGGCATGGGTAAAACAGCAGCCAACAGGTCCAAGGTGTGTCTCAATAAACAAGGTCAGTCACCTGGTGTTATGTGGGGGGGGGCATGGGTAAAACAGCAACCAACAGGTCCAAGGTGTGTCTCAATAAACAAGGTCAGTCACCTGGTGTTTATGTTGGGGGGGGGGGGGCATGGGTAAAACAGCAGCCAACAGGTCCAAGGTGTGTCTCAATAAACAAGGTCAGTCACCTGGTGTTATGTGGGGGGGGGGGGGGGGCATGGGTAAAACAGCAGCCAACAGGTCCAAGGTGTGTCTCAATAAACAAGGTCAGTCACCTGGTGTTATGTTTGGGGGGGGGGGGGCATGGGTAAAACAGCAGCCAACAGGTCCAAGGTGTGTCTCAATAAACAAGGTCAGTCACCTGGTGTTTATGTTGGGTGGGGGGGGGGGGGGCATGGGTAAAACAGCAGCCAACAGGTCCAAGGTGTGTCTCAATAAACAAGGTCAGTCACCTGGTGTTTATGTGGGGGGGGGGGGGGCATGGGTAAAACAGCAACCAACAGGTCCAAGGTGTGTCTCAATAAACAAGGTCAGTCACCTGGTGTTATGTTTGGGAGGGGGGGGGGGGGCATGGGTAAAACAGCAGCCAACAGGTCCAAGGTGTGTCTCAATAAACAAGGTCAGTCACCTGGTGTTTATGTGGGGGGGGGGGGGGGGGGGGGGGGGCATGGGTAAAACAGCAACCAACAGGTCCAAGGTGTGTCTCAATAAACAAGGTCAGTCACCTGGTGTTTATGTTGGGTGGGGGGGGGGGCATGGGTAAAACAGCAGCCAACAGGTCCAAGGTGTGTCTCAATAAACAAGGTCAGTCACCTGGTGTTATGTTTGGGAGGGGGGGGGGGGCATGGGTAAAACAGCAGCCAACAGGTCCAAGGTGTGTCTCAATAAACAAGGTCAGTCACCTGGTGTTTATGTGGGGGGGGGGGGGCATGGGTAAAACAGCAACCAACAGGTCCAAGGTGTGTCTCAATAAACAAGGTCAGTCACCTGGTGTTTATGTTGGGTGGGGGGGGGGCATGGGTAAAACAGCAGCCAACAGGTCCAAGGTGTGTCTCAATAAACAAGGTCAGTCACCTGGTGTTATGTTTGGGAGGGGGGGGGCATGGGTAAAACAGCAGCCAACAGGTCCAAGGTGTGTCTCAATAAACAAGGTCAGTCACCTGGTGTTTATGTTGGGGGGGGGGGGCATGGGTAAAACAGCAGCCAACAGGTCCAAGGTGTGTCTCAATAAACAAGGTCAGTCACCTGGTGTTTATGTGGGGGGGGGGGGGGGCATGGGTAAAACAGCAGCCAACAGGTCCAAGGTGTGTCTCAATAAACAAGGTCAGTCACCTGGTGTTATGTGGGGGGGGGGGGCATGGGTAAAACAGCAACCAACAGGTCCAAGGTGTGTCTCAATAAACAAGGTCAGTCACCTGGTGTTATGTTTGGGGGGGGGGGGGCATGGGTAAAACAGCAGCCAACAGGTCCAAGGTGTGTCTCAATAAACAAGGTCAGTCACCTGGTGTTATGTGGGGGGGTGGGGGCATGGGTAAAACAGCAGCCAACAGGTCCAAGGTGTGTCTCAATAAACAAGGTCAGTCACCTGGTGTTATGTGGGGGGGGGGGGGGCATGGGTAAAACAGCAGCCAACAGGTCCAAGGTGTGTCTCAATAAACAAGGTCAGTCACCTGGTGTTATGTGGGGGGGGGGGGGGCATGGGTAAAACAGCAACCAACAGGTCCAAGGTGTGTCTCAATAAACAAGGTCAGTCACCTGGTGTTATGTGGGGGGGGGGGGCATGGGTAAAACAGCAACCAACAGGTCCAAGGTGTGTCTCAATAAACAAGGTCAGTCACCTGGTGTTATGTGGGGGGGGGGGGGCATGGGTAAAACAGCAGCCAACAGGTCCAAGGTGTGTCTCAATAAACAAGGTCAGTCACCTGGTGTTATGTGGGGGGGGGGGGGGCATGGGTAAAACAGCAACCAACAGGTCCAAGGTGTGTCTCAATAAACAAGGTCAGTCACCTGGTGTTATGTGGGGGGGGGGGGGGCATGGGTAAAACAGCAACCAACAGGTCCAAGGTGTGTCTCAATAAACAAGGTCAGTCACCTGGTGTTATGTGGGGGGGGGGGCATGGGTAAAACAGCAACCAACAGGTCCAAGGTGTGTCTCAATAAACAAGGTCAGTCACCTGGTGTTATGTGGGGGGGGGGGGGGGGGGCATGGGTAAAACAGCAGCCAACAGGTCCAAGGTGTGTCTCAATAAACAAGGTCAGTCACCTGGTGTTATGTGGGGGGGGGGGGGGGGGGCATGGGTAAAACAGCAACCAACAGGTCCAAGGTGTGTCTCAATAAACAAGGTCAGTCACCTGGTGTTATGTGGGGGGGGGGGGGAATGGGTAAAACAGCAACCAACAGGTCCAAGGTGTGTCTCAATAAACAAGGTCAGTCCCCTGGTGTTTATGTTGGGGGGGGGGGGGGACGGGGCATGGGTAAAACAAGTTAATGTATAGACTATATACAACTTCTTAAAACTGAGTGATACATGTTCATACTGCTAATTATTTACAAAATTAGATTAGAATAAGTTGCTAGACTGAGAGGAACTTCATACTGAAGTTATCTGTTAAATAAATTATTTTAACTTTTGGACAAAAAGGTATCCTAGATGCATGTGGTAATTTATTCAAGATTCGCAAAGCAAATTTTACTGACATATTAGTTCATCATGTATGTAAAATAATCTGTATTTATAATCATCTGTTCCAATAATAATCTTTTCTGAAAATGATAACTTGGTAAAATGATGAGTTCCTGATTATCTATTCCAGGTGGGAAGATAAAGTGTGTCTCATTTCTAGAGGGGTCAAGCTCTGTGGCGTCTGCTTCAGACAACAACAGTATACAGATCTATAAGTAGTTCTACTTATGACTTGTTATAATTAAAATATCAGTTTAGAGATCTATAAGTATTTGTCACTTTTAGTACAAAATATAAATATATGGATCTATAAGTAGACCTTCATGTTATAATATTTTAACACTTTTCAGGCTGGATAGTGGATCTGTTCAGCTTGAAGACTCTCGGATAGTTGATGTGAATACATACGGACAAATTATGGATATGACACACTTTGATACAGGTGGGAGATTAATTAATGTCTACTACTATCAAATTTGACCATTGATGTTATAGGAAACAAAATAAAAATTTTGTATAGAGGACTAAAACCTGAAAAAAATGAAAGCAAATTATTGAGCCTTACTTTTAATTACAATTTACTATAAATAAACAATATGATTAAAAATGCAGCATTAAATACAATATTTAAAAAAGGGGGTACTCATAAAAGGCATTTCAGGTAGTCTCACATAAAAAAAAAATCATGGTTTGCATTTGTTTGCATAGTACAGTAAAGGGTTAAATATGTGTGGTTAGTGCTATCTCCCCATCACCTTTACTTTATACTATTCCAAATGTAACTGACATTACAATTATTGTCCACCCAGGTGCCCAGTCTATCCTCACCTACGCCACTGTCTCCAGCCATATCATTGGCTGGGACCTGCGGAGCTCCGCCCCCGCCTGGATCTTGCGGAACGACCCCCGGCACGGATTGATCACGAGCTTTGCCGTGAACCAGACGCAGTGTTGGCTGGCTGCGGGGACGTGTAGTGGGGCGATGGTGTGCTGGGACATGAGGTTCCGCATGCCAATCAACAAAATACAGCACCCCTCAGGTTTGTTGTTGAACTCTTTTGTCCTGCTCTCTTAACACCCCACCCCTTTGTTGATACAGCAACCTTGTTGGCTCAACACCCTCATAATGACACAGAGTAGCTCTTTGATAATTACAGCAAATTTTTTTTTAGATCATATTAAATAACCTTAACATAGCTACTTTGATGATTATACATGTCCCTTACATTAACATGGCATTTCTTAAGCCATTATTTACCCCTAAAATGAGTTCAGGACACCTATGGCTGCTACTTCCTTCATCAGAATTGTACAATTCCTACCCCTACAAGGCACCTACAATCTGCCTGCAACAACAGAACATCTGTTGTAATAATGTTTGTGTATGTATCAGGTCACAGGGTCAGGTCTCTAACAAATGTTTGTGTATGTCTCAGGTCACAGAGTCAGGTCTCTAACAAATGTTTGCGTATGTCTCAGGTCACAGGGTCAGGTCACAGGGTCAGGTCTCTAACAAATGTTTGTGTATGTCTCAGGTCACAGGGTCAGGTCCCTAACAAATGTTTGTGTATGTCTCAGGTCACAGGGTCAGGTCCCTAACAAATGTTTGTGTATGTCTCAGGTCACAGAGTCAGGTCTCTAACAAATGTTTGTGTATGTCTCAGGTCACAGGGTCAGGTCTCTAACAAATGTTTGTGTATGTCTCAGGTCACAGGGTCAGGTCCCTAACAAATGTTTGTGTATGTCTCAGGTCACAGGGTCAGGTCACAGAGTCAGGTCTCTAACAAATGTTTGTGTATGTCTCAGGTCACAGAGTCAGGTCTCTAACAAATGTTTGTGTATGTCTCAGGTCACAGAGTCAGGTCTCTAACAAATGTTTGCGTATGTCTCAGGTCACAGGGTCAGGCGTCTGACCATGCATCCCACAGAACAGGCCTGGCTGGTGGCCTCGTTCAACTGGAACAACGAGGTCTCCATGTGGGACGCTGAGACTGGACAGCGCCAGAAGACACTCTGGCCTAGCTCCTCACCTGCTCTTTCTTACAAAAAGGTAAGTGTCTACAGGGCCTGTGGCTAAGTAAAGCCTTGTTTCCCTGAATAGTTGTAGCCTTAAGTCTGTGGCTAGATGTGGAATGTGTCCTTAGCTATATTTGGTATGCTCATCTTTTAAAGTCATCTTATGGATTCTTAACCTTTGTTTTTCTATGGATTGTTTTGTAAAAATTTAATTTGTTGGTTTCTTTACTTTTTTTTTTTTCAACCACATGATAGTCTTAAACTAAAGTTAACTTATATAATTGGATTTTGAATAGCTCCCTTTAATACTTGTATTCAGATCATTTGTCTAGATGTGCCTTAGCTGTTTACACTGGACATTGATTATTTCATCAATATTGTAGATGTAACCTAGACCTTAATTCTCCCATCAATATTAATAATGTAATCTAGCCCTTGAGTTTCCCATCACTATTGTAGATCTAATTGAGACTTAGATTCTCCCATCACTATTGTAGATCTAATTGAGACTTAGATTCTCCCATCAATTTTGTAGATCTGAGACTTAGATTCTCCCATCACTATTGTAGATCTAATTGAGACTTAGATTCTCCCATCACTATTTTAGATCTGAGACTTAGATTCTCCCATCACTATTGTAGATCTAATTGAGACTTAGATTCTCCCATCACTATTGTAGATCTAATTGAGACTTAGATTCTCCCAACACTATAGTAAATTTAATTGAGACGTAAATTCTCCCATCAAATTTGTAGATCTAATTAAGACTTAGATTCTCCCATCAATTTTGTAGATCTAATTAAGACTTAGATTCTCCCATCATTTTGTAGATCTAATTAAGACTTAAATTCTCCCATCAATTTTGTAGATCTAATTAAGACTTAGATTCTCCCATCAATTTTGTAGATCTAATTGAGACTTAGATTCTCCTATCAATATTGTAAATGTAACAGACCTTGATTATTTCGTCAATGTTGTAGATGTAACTTAGACCTTAAATCTCCCATCAATGTTGTAGATGTAACAGACCTGAATTCTCCCATCAATGTTGTAGATGAACAAAAGTCAGGAAGACGAGGGGATGTGCGGCATCCATGTTGGTGCCACTGACACAAAGACATTTGTCCTGACAGGGGGAACTGACATGAGGCTCAGGTTCTGGGACCTCAACTACCCGGCCAACTCCATGTGCTTCAGCTATGGCCTTGATGACCCTCGAACCATGTCCTTGACCTACAGGTCAGTTGAGAATAAGCATTTACATGTAGAGCCAGTCTTTGGGGTTTTTTTTTTTTTTAGTTTTATCTAACGGAAGTTTTATTAGTTTTATTTTTGGTAGGTTTCACTAGTTTTGTAGCTAGGTTTCGTTAATATCATAAGTAGGTTGCATTAGTTTTGAAGCTAGATTTTTTAAAATATCATCATAGGTAGGTTTCACTAGTTTTATAGCTAGGTTTTTTTAATATCATGATAGTAAGGTTTCATATGTTTTGTAGCTAGGTTTTGTTAATATCATCATAAGTAGGTTTCATTAGTTTGATCTTAGAGAGGTTCCATTAGTTATGTAGCTAGGTTTAATTTAATACCATCATAGGTAGGTTGCATTAGTTTGATCTTAGAAAGGTCTCACTCGTTTTATAGCTAGGTTTCTTTAATACCATCATAGGTAGGTTGCATTAGTTTGATCTTAGCGAGGTTTCACTGGTTTTGTAGCTAGGTTTCGTTAATATCATAGGTAGGTTGCATTAGTTTGATCTTAGCGAGGTTTCACTGGTTTTGTAGCTAGGTTTCGTTAATATCATAGGTAGGTTGCATTAGTTTGAGCTTAGTATTGTTTTTTTAATTAGTTTCTCTAAGGTAGTTTTTAGTTCATGGTTGTACCCAAGCTAAACACTACTATGTGTTTCACTCTTTGCTTTAAACAAACAATTGAAATTGTTCTAGGTCGCAGCTGATCGAGGGGTCAGAGGTCATCCAGGAGCTGGAAAACCAGCGTGAGAGCCTGGACAAGTACGAGGTGGAGAGGGAGCTTCACCTGATGCACAGCGCTCCACTGCAGGGTCACCACGACATCGTCAATGACCTGACCCTGTGCCACAGCACACAGAGCCTGGTCATCTCCGCTGCCAGGAATGGACACATCAAAGTCTGGAAGTAACGGGGTCAGAGGTTAGATGGACACATCAAAGTCTGGAAGTAACGGGGTCAGAGGTTAGATGGACACATCAAAGTCTGGAAGTAACGGGGTCAGAGGTTAGATGGACACATCAAAGTCTGGAAGTAATGGGGTCAGAGGTTAGATGGACACATCAAAGTCTGGAAGTAACGGGGTCAGAGGTTAGATGGACACATCAAAGTCTGGAAGTAACGGGGTCAGAGGTTAGATGGACACATCAAAGTCTGGAAGTAACGGGGTCAGAGGTTAGATGGACACATCAAAGTCTGGAAGTAACGGGGTCAGAGGTTAGATGGACACATCAAAGTCTGGAAGTAACGGGGTCAGAGGTTAGATGGACACATCAAAGTCTGGAAGTAACGGGGTCAGAGGTTAGATGGACACATCAAAGTCTGGAAGTAACGGGGTCAGAGGTTAGATGGACACATCAAAGTCTGGAAGTAACGGGGTCAGAGGTTAGATGGACACATCAAAGTCTGGAAGCAACGCTGGAGGGTCAGAGCTTACGTCAGGAGCTACAAGTTAGTTGTTTGACCCATATAACGCCTGCCATTACTTTCATAATTGGATAACGAGGTGGAAAGGTAGATCACTTGACTACTATCTGAAAGTCTTCAGTTCAGTTCCTGATTCAGTCCAGTTGGTTGTAATGTGACTTAAGGAAAGTAAAGGCAGCTTGGCGTATGGTTCATCAGACAAGCTGTTTCAATACTAAGGTCAAAGAAACATGAACTGTTTTATCTGCCAAATTGAATTTACAAGTCTGAAAGGGTAACTTAATTTTTGTGTTACTGTTAATTAGGGTTAGATGTCAGTGTGCATTGTACAGTATGGGTGTGTTTGTGTATGATAGAGGGTGATAGTTTTGCTTGTGACTGATAGTTTAGTGACTGATAAATGCAGCATAATAATTGTGTTAATAGCTGGTGTAAACACATCAATTGTGTTGTTAGCTTTTAACCACTTGTTTATTTTCTACATGATGTGATATGATAATTTTATAATGATGATTGTTTCACCTTGGTTGACAACCTGTGGCTGGTTGATGACCTGTACACAACCTGTCAATGGTTGACAACCTATACACAACCTGTCAATGGTTGACAACCTATACACAACCTGTCAATGGTTGGCTACCTGTACACTACCTGTGGCTGGTTGACAACCTGTGGCTGGTTGACAACCTGTAGCTGGTTGACAACCTGTAGCTGGTTGACAACCTGTAGCTGGTTGACTACCTGTACACATCCTGTGGCTGGTTGACAACCTGTGGCTGGTTGACAACCTGTAGCTGGTTGACAACCTGTAGCTGGTTGACAACCTGTGGCTGGTTGACAACCTGTAGCTGGTTGACAACCTGTACACAGCCTGTGGCTGGTTGACAACCTGTGGCTGGTTGACAACCTGTAGCTGGTTGACAACCTGTAGCTGGTTGACAACCTGTACACAACCTTTGAATAGTTGACCAACTGTACAACCATTAGACTGGTTGGTCACATAACAGAAAAGACAAAATTCACAAAGAATCCTAAAGTCTTTCATACTTATTTCCTCAAGTTTCCTGTCAGATTTAGTCTAGATCAATCTTACTGTGCAATGTTAACCCTCCTACTGCCCTCTGTTTTACTTAATTCCATGAAATTAACCCCATGCTACTGTCTAGAGAATATAGAACTTGACTGCCTTGCTATTTTTACTTATTGCTAAAACTTCTTTTATTGTGACTGTTGCTGTTGGTTGTATGACTTGGTCAGTCATTTGATGTATTTGGTCAGCTATGTGGCATTAAGTCATCTCATTCAACTTGTGTACAATGCAGTCGTGCTGATTTAGTTTGCAATACTGTATGATAATTACGTACATTACTATTACTATGGCTGTCATTTGTTCGACTCATTGTTTTACATGTAATAATGTTTCACCACATTGAATTCTATTGTTATAATCATGTTGTTTACATAATTATCTGTCAAACTTTGCGTATTTAATTATAATATACCTTGCAATTTGGGACCAAAACTAATTACATCATCAATTCATAAAAATATCGTTAAACATGTTTTTAATTTATGTATGTGATCACAGCTGGGTTAGATTCAATGTGTACATGTTTAGATTTGGGTGTACCCAGTACACAATACATGTTTTCCTGTTTGATCTACCCTAGGACATTGCTTGGATCTCAACTCTGTACATGTTCATTAAAAGGTTGCTCAGTTGGTTCCTGTTTTGTTTTAGACACTTGGTGTGTATTTGTGTGTGTGTGTGTGTTGTTAATGTAGAGATGATGTGTGTCTTACTGTTTGAATAATGGCTGTGACTTTGTTAGTTTAGGAACTTGATCCCTTAAATTTTTTAAAAATTTTCGTCTTCTACTAGATATATGAAATTTTTGTTATTTTAGTCTTTCTACTAAATCCCTTCAATGTTTGCAAAAAATACGTACTGATCTAGTACACAAATTTGCAACAAATATGTACTGATCTAGTACACACATTTGCAACAAATATGTACTGATCTAGTACACACATTTGCAACAAATATGTACTGATCTAGTACACACATTTGCAACAAATATGTACTGATCTAGTACACACATTTGCAACAAATATGTACTGATCTAGTACACACATTTGCAACAAATATGTACTGATCTAGTACACACATTTGCAACAAATATGCACTGATCTAGTACACAACTTTGCAACAGAAAGTGTACTGATCTAGTACACAAATTTGCAACAAAAATGTACTGATCTAGTACACAAATTTGCAACTAAAATGTCCTGATCCAGTACACAAATTTGCAACAAAAATGTATCGTAAGTCTTAAACAAACGACTTTTCTCCCTGTCATGTTAGATCCTCTTGACGAGCTTGTGTTAGGCTTTAAACTATTAACCTGTCGCTGGCTCTAGCCACCTCGGATAAGATCTGTTTTTATTCTACCTTATCAACGCATAAAAAACATTTCAGAATTCATGCCGGGTCGTCAGAAATAATTGCTGTTAAATTTTTCTTAGTCTATCCTTACTCCTGTCAGAGGCGTTTCTACTACCATCGTGGATACCGGGGGGGGGGGGGTGTCTATGTGAGATGCTACTACTAGGATAACTAAACAATACATGACATTTTTTATTATATACATTTTGAAAAGTGTGGGGAGGGGTGCATAATAAAACCACAAGACCACACAAAGAGACAGTTCTTACGTTGCAGTATTTTATAACGACGCTTTAAGTGCGCTGGGCCTTTGAGGGTCTATAAAATTGTGATGAACCACTTTTGCTAGTTTTATATCTCTTCGCTTTTAAACTGAGTTGTTGGCCCTGTTTACCCTGTCGATATCGTAAGGTTAGTTCAGACCTGAGTTTCTTCCAGGTATCTCTTTTGGGGGGGGGGGGGGGGATGGTTCCCCCCTTCCACCCCCGAAGAAAGTTGACCACCCCTCCCGGAAATTTTAGTCCGCTTCACGAAGGGTGAAGGTTCGAAACTAAGTAATTGAATCTTGGATTTAACTGACTTTGTCTTCTTCAACTTCCAGTTTAACATATGCCATTTACAATATCCTTCCATGATTTTCTGTCTTTTTCTGTTTTCTTTTTGTATTTCATTCCCATACTATTCCTGTCTGTTTACTTTACTGAGCGACAGTGTGTTATGGTTCCCTACTTGTTCTTGGTCTTAGCAAAGCCTAGTCCTCACCTTCCACCAAACACTGGAGTTATAGTTACGCCGCTGGGTCCTAACTTTCCTCACCTGACTAAAGCTATAGCTACGCCCCTGGGCCCTAACTTTCCTTACCTTCCTCCCAGTGGCGTAGCGAGGTCGGGTGTCACCCGGTGCGACACTTAATGGTGTCATCCCCAGAGGCGTAGCGAGCCTTACCGGCGCCCGGGGACAAACTTTCACTCCACCCCCATCTCAAACTTTCGATTTGCACCCCCTCTCAAACTTTCGATTTGCACACACCCCCCTCCACCCTTGTCGGGATTTGTCAAATTTGCTCTTAAAGGACTTTTTAACACTCGAATTAATCACTTAACTAAGTAAAATTATCATTTTTCTCTATATATTTTGCTATTTTTTGCCTTGGTGTCACCCCCCCCCCCCCTAAATGGTGTCACCGGGTGCGACCCGCACCCCCTCCCCTCGCTACGCCACTGCTTCCACCTAACACTGGAGTTATAGCTACGCACCTGGGTCCTAACTTTCCTTACCCAACTCTTACCTAGCTCTTGTCACATTCATAAATCTAAGCACTTTGTCTTTATTGTCTGAACTAAATATATCTGGCGGTAAAAACCGAACCTTGACGTCTGCGAGTTAAGCAGCCGAACAATGTATAGGTGATACACTATACAGGAAGGGGTGGGGTGGATTTTTCTTATTAAGGCGCGAACTTCTATTTTTTAAGGACCCTTAAATCACTTCCGGTTCAATATTTTTTGTGTTGATTCTAAACGAGGGTCTCTTATTGCTGTTCCATTTCAAAACATTGGCCACTTTAGAGCAAGGGTAATAATGTGTACATTTTAAACTTCTGTCTGTAGGAAGTGGTCCACACAGTCATAAGTCAAAATGTGCTGGAGTATTCGCTTCCCATTGTATCCACGAGCAGGGTTTCTTTCGCATATTTTTCTTTTTGAGAGAGGAGGGTGGGCGACGACGATACTGTTTATATTGCTTTTTCTATTTAAATAATTTTTTTTTTCAATTAGTCTGGGGGGGGGGGGGGAGAGATGGGCGGAAATGTGCTCTCAACCTACTCTGAACTCTATTCACCAGCTAAACCACCGTGGGCTCGGGAATGACATATTATTACGTAATAATCATAGTGCTTTGCTGAGAAGTGGGGGAGGGGGAAGGGCCAGAGGCGTAGCGAGGGAGGGGGGCGGGGGGGGGGGGGGACATATGTCCCCCGGGCGCCGACCTTAAGGGAGGGGCGCCAAAATGGGTTTGAAAAACAAATTGAAAGTTTGAGGGCGTGTGCAAATCGAAAGTTTAAGGGGGATGGGTGAGTGCAAATCGAAAGTTTGTCCACAGGCGCCTGGAAGGGTCGCTACGCCTCTGGGAAGGGCTGAGTAAGTAAAGTTGGCTAGGCATTGTGTTGACCACACTATCCCCTCCTAAGCCGAGGTCACCGTAACAAGTGAACTCTACTTGCCCCGTAGACCGTCAGTTTTGAAAGGGAACTTTACATTTTTAATGGACTATTTGCTAAACTAAACCTATACACTTTACCTGGTAATTAATTGTCGATGGCTTTGCTACGTATCTTGTCTTCCCACAGTGTCATTTTTTTTTCTGGGCGTTGACTCTCAACCACTTCCCCCCCCCCCTCCACCACACACTATTTTAAGAGCCCAAAATATAGCCATATAACTAATACAAGAGCCCAAAATATAGCCGTAATATCTAATACAAGATCCCAAAATATAGCCGTATAACTAATACAATATCCCAAAATGTAGTCGTATGACTCATACAATATCCCAAAATATAGCCGTATAACTAATACAAGAGCTCAAAATATAGCTGTATAACTAATACAATATCCCAAAATATAGCCGAATTACAAATATAAGAGCCCAAAATACAGCTGTATAGCTAATACAAGAGCTCCTTTGTTTGGAGTCCAAAATATTCTTTTACTGCGATAGCTAGACACCAATATTTTATGATTTAACAACTCTTCATAGGGGTACGGTTTATTTTCAATCAAGTTGCTTGCCTAAGCAGAATCCGCACTGGCTTTCTAATGCGATACTTTGAAGACAATAGATGACCTTGATATTGAAACCATTGTTACCATAAAGCATTAGCATGCGCGCGCACATTTTACCGTGTTGAGGAAAATGGTTACGGAAAAAAAATTCCATTCTCTCGAAGTTGATTTTTGAAAATGTCAGATGTCTAGTCAGCAGAATTTAATGTCTCGAGGCTATCTTGTGACTCCACACGTTTTATTTACAGTGTGGGTTTATATTGGTTTCTGTCGGTGGTTCTCATAATGGTAGGGGGTGATCCATTCATAATATTAGACTCCTGGGAGATAGGGTGTGGGTTCACCGTGACAATGTGTGACTAGGGTTATGGTCGAGTTCAGAAAATGTGACGTTATATTAATGTA